TGTGTGTGTGTGTGTGTACACTTGTACCAATATCTTTGTGAGGACCATGAAACCAACAGTTAGTGAGGACATTTTGGGAAAGTGAGGACATTTGGCTGGTCCTCACTTTCTGACCCACTTTTAATGAGCTACTTCAGGGTTGAGACTTGCTTCTAGGGTTAGGGTAAGAGTTAGGTTAAGGTTTGGGTAAGGGTTAGCGTTAGGCATTTAATTGTGATGGTTAGGTTAGGGTAAAGGGCTTGGGATCATTATGCCTAGTATCCTCAAGATAGATGTACAAACGTGTGTGCATGTGTTTTTCTGCTTCTCTCGACAATTTGTCTTTTCTAGCCGTGAGTGTTTGCAAATAACATTCTCCTCAAATCAATATGTACCAACACAAAGCCAGCCTGTCATTAACTGCAGAACTGATGATGATACACAGATGGTAGCGTTTCAAATGAAACAGTGGACACAGCCAGCAGGAGGCAAATCAATCCTGTTGCAGATGATAAAATACAAGTTCTGAGAGGTGGCTGAGGTTTGTGCTGTTTTTCAACTGGACTTATAAGACATTTTTTTACACGTCACACATTTGAGGTGAGCACTGGCTGTAATAGACTGTGTCCACTTCTGACCCCATTGTGCAAAAGTGAAGCCGAAACATCCCAGATACGTGTGCTGCCATCTTGTTCTTGGTGTCATTTGGAGCCAGAGTCTGTATTAGTGAATGAGGTCAGGTTGATACACACACTCCACCAATCGCGAGCCAGTCTCAGCTGTCAATCGTGACGTTTCAATCTATTTTAAATTAATTATTAAACTTCAAAAAAGTAGGAAACTGAAAGATAAAACTCCAGAGATGTTGAGATGAAACGTTGTTGAGATATTCCAGTGGCAATTGCTTCACGTAGACAGAGAATATGAGACGGGACGACTGAGCTCAAACAACAGGTTGACAACAAGAATTTAAACTAAAATAATTTAAAAAAAAATGTTTTCCAAACAATAACATGACATTAAGTAAACTATTGACAGAGAATATGTGTTCAAATATGTGCTAAGTGCACTGTACTGCGTAGAAGGAATTTCTAGTTATCTTCATGAAAATGTATTAGAAATTCAAATAAAAAAAAACTAATTAAATGTAGCCACAAGCTCTTCCTGATTAATTTAAACCCACCTTGTGTGCATGTGATTGATGGAGGGAAGAGAAAAATGAAATAAAACATTAAAAATATGCTCACTGAGCTCTGAAATAGCAACGAGTTTGGTCTCACGTTGGCTTTTCCTGCGCTGGTTGAACGCCTGAAGCAAGTCACAAAATCTAATCAAACATTGGGGACGAAAATTCCTTTACATTTGACTTGATATCTTCATTTTTTAAGTGGAAATTGTATCTGCATTTGATTGCAGGGGTTTAGTGTTGCCCTCTGGCATCAAGTCTCTATTAGAGTGACAGTTGATCCATTAATGGAATTTAAGAGTGTCAAGATTTAATGTGCTTACTCTTTTCACATAATCACTATTATCAAGCTGAAATCCTGCAGGTCAAAAACAGTGCGGACCAAGAAGTTTTTTTAAAAAGTGACTTGGAATCAAATACGATTTTACTGAGACTTTTTTGATTGACACAGTAAAATTGGTAAATGATTAGTTTTTAGGCTTTTTAAAGATGTGGTCTCAGATGTGTTAAAAAGAAGAAAAACAAGCAAAATTAAACTCTCTGCAATTTTGAGAAGATGTTAGAATCCTTTGGTGCCTGTCGACTTTTAAACCAACCCACACCACTGCAATAACAGAATGGGGGGGGGGGGGCATCTATCAATATTTATTGGATGTAGCCAACACTTTCCAAAACAAATAGTTGGAGAATCAGACCTGCTTTATGCAGCAATGGGCTGAATGTACAGAAGCTGGAAAATAAGCAAGGTGTGTATTTTTTTCCACTATTTAGTCTTTCTCACTCTTCCTTGTGTCACTTTTTCTATGAACTTCAAGGGCAGGTTTCTGTGTACTTCAAGATAACTGTGTGTCATCTCCATTTGAAGGATTTTGCCACATCTCATCTGATAAATCCTTCTAGTGGTGTGGGGTGAAATATGACGCTCAGCTGAACATGAAAACCTGTGTCATAGGTATCTATGGATATACTCTTTACTCCTTGTACCATGTACAAACCCAGCTACATAAACTAACTCAATTCAAGCATATCCTTGAATTTAAAAGAAATGGAAATGGAATCGAGATTTGACATGAACCCCAAAAGACATAAAACCAGCTCTGGAAAGAGCAAAGCCAGTTGAACTACTGTATGTGAGAATGACAGGGTGACGGCTGTTCGACAGATAGAGGAGGCTGAGGGGGCGTTATTCCACTCACTGAGACAGGTTCAGTGTGGAGGGCAAAGGAGTAGCGGTGGTGGGTTTGGGGTTTTCCTGAATGCTCCACTGACCTAGCAGAGTGAACCCCAGTGTGACGGGAGCATGGCTACCTGTCACATTATCATTCAGTCATGCATCCAAACGCACTGCGCTGGTGACACATGAAGAACTCTGGATTTGTTAGCGTCACTCTCAGTTTCTCTCAGCTTTGTTGCAGTGTATGGATCCAGAGGGGAACTTCTGAGGTGTGCAAAGTTTTCAGCTTGTGGATGGAAGGCGAAGAAAGATGCAACATAATAAAATAAAATCAGTCTGTAAAACTATTAAAATAAATCATTTAGTAGACTCTTAAAAATCTTTTAAAAATCAGACCAGGACACAAATGCCAGTGAAATAAATCAATCATTGTACAGTGTGCTCCTCAGTGCCTCCACCACTGCACCAAACTGTGGAAACTCACTTGCTTTTGACTGGCAACTGACAGTTTTTAGACAGACATTATATATGAATCCATTAATAGTTTGGCAGGAAATGCAGAAAAAAAGCCCATCACAATATCTGAACTTAAGTCCAACCTCCAACGATATTCAATGTGCATGTTTCATTTGTTTAAAACACTTTTTAGAAGTTGTGATTAAGAAATATGTTGCATTTTTGATTGATGAATAAATAAATAAAGGTTGATTAAAGTGTCGCTGATTCATTTCCATTTAACTTATGTCAGCTAACATGACTTTATCCAAGTCATAACCCGAGACGTACATAAAACGTGGAGCATGTTCCAATCATTCAGACACCTTTCTAATCATTTTAAGTGGCCAATATGTGCATATCAATATTAGGGAGTATAAGTTTCCTTATGACAATATAACAATATATATAAAAACTTGAATTAAGAAAATAAAACATTTTTAAGGTGAATTGAGAACATTAATGCAGATCTTTTTTGCACTGTTTATTCTGTAATTTATGTCAGCAAAAGTAAATGTCTGATGTCTGTCAAATGCTCAAATTGGCAGATGTTTAGCATCAAACTGATAAAAATGTTGGCTCTAAATTTAATTCGTCTGAATAGTCAACAAATAAGAAAAAATTCTGTCAACTTACTTTCCCTGAACACGAAATCAAACAATTAATAAATACAAATGTCTTTAGCACCAATTTCTGTTTAAAATTTAATCTACACTGTAAAGTTCTGTCCCATGGGTGTTTTGTTTTTTGAATCGATGTGAGTCTTTATGTTTCAGCTGGGTTATATTTGCATTCATTTTAAGGTCTAGCTCTGTTGAAATGAATTTAATTACACCACATGGCCGCTGCCACAAAGCTGTAGCAATTAGGTGCTATGAGGCTGTTATCATCAAACAGGCTTATTTTCACACTTCATGTGAACTCGTGATCAGACTCGCTCCATCTCGCTCCATCCAATATTGACTCCTGCAAACACTGCTTCACAAGATGTTATGTCTCATGAGGATAAATTAGTGTCAAGTGGAATTGTGTACTAAAGTGCTTGTGCATCGTTTACAGTCAAAGTGAGATTGCCATATGGACTCCATATTGCTGTGAATGCGCCCTCGGTGGGTGACAGCACACTTCCACCAGAGGCTGTTGTGTCTGGGCTTTTCATTAACACCTAAGAAGGTGTCAGTCTCAGTTTTCTTCTGCTGGGCTGCTCATAAACAAAACAGCAGTAGAAACGAGGAGAAACTCCCTTGGGTCCAACCCAAGCAGCAACAACCACAGCTAAACACTGAGGCCAAAGCAGAGGTGTCTTTAACGTGCAGTTTCCTGGTGGCCAACAGAAAGTAGCTGATTGTATTGAACTAACTGCGAAAAGTTCAAACTTTTTCCCCATTTTAAAAGCTGGTGAACATAGTGAAGCGTTTAGCAGCTGGAGAACCATATATTTCCCTGAGGACCAAAAGCAGAGCAAGAGTGAGCACTGATTTGAAAGTCATTGGGTGGCCAGAAACACAAATGAATGTTAATTGGGCTCCATATCTGCTGGATTTGTTTCTAACATCAGAATATAAATATCATCATATGGTGATATTTCTATCATTCATGTTTTTCATAGTCCAATAGTAATTAAGAAAGGTTTATTATGTGATTCTGATTCCTGATATAACATAGTTTTTTCAAATATTGTTAAAACACAGTAGTATTTACTTGATTATTTTCAATATTCCCTTTTATTGAGTTTCCATTATCACTTTATTCTTTGAATAATTCAAGACCTGGATCAAGTCCTAAATGCAGGACAAACTTTATACCTTGTTATACTTTACATATCCTTCAACACATATTTTGTTTAACTTAACATGGAAAAGGTAATCACTAAATAAACATGCATTGACAATTGTGTTGACTGGTTCAGCTTCAGAACATAGGGACTGAAAAACCTCCATAAATTAAATGTAATCTTGATTTACAAGTAATTATTAGTTTAGGATGGTGGTTAATTTGATACATCACAGAGATCCAGCAGTAACACTAGCGAGCCTGTTGTGAGGAGCTAAACAGGGTTTGGATTTGTGCTTATGATGTGCTTATGCAGTGCAGCGTGGAGTACATATACCTGAGATGTCTGTATCACTGTGGGGTTCCTCTTGTTCTGAGAGCCTCCTTTCTACATGCCGGGCTTCAGGGACGTAGAAATCTCCCTGCCGGGCCAAGGGGGCCATGAACTGGATCTGACCTTCCCGGTAGATCTCAAGGAACGGGTGAGCACACAGCCTCCTCTCCTGTAAGAGCAAGTAGGGCGACATTGAAGAGTAGGTGTGCGTATAACAAATACAATACTTAACATGATTGTACATATTTTTGTAAAAACAATTCAACTGTACAATTCTGTCATATAAAGAGATGAACCTGTTGTGGTTTAGAACATAAAGCGGAGATAGAGCAGTTCGTCCACTAACCAGAAGGTCAGCTGTTCGATCCCAGTCTCAATTCTGCATGCATAAGTGTCTTTGAGCAAGATGCTGAATCCTAATTATGATGTCTGTGCTGGCAATGTATGAGTGATGTATAATAGAGAATATGCTGCACACAGAGGTACTGTATGAATGAGAGTGTGAATAGCTAAATTGTACTTTACTTAGAGAGTTCATCAAGTAACAGTACCATATAAGTGCAGATCATTGACCGTTTGTCACAAACTGTCAACTGCTGACTTGAAAACTGAGTTTAGTGCAGAAGTTCTTGAGATTATGTAGAGGAGCTATAGGTGAGAATGCTAATGTCTGAGTCAGTTGCTCTGGACATTTTCCAGAAATTTCCCCTCAAGCCTCCTATTAAAATGTCAGTGTCTGAAAAATGTACAGCGAGCATCCAGGGCTAGTGATGTCTTATTTTAACATGCGAGGGATGCAAAGTGGAGGAATACAAATATCACAGAATGACAAAGAGGTGCCATGCACGAAAATGCCAAGATGTTCACTTGGAAAGAGACGGATTCAAGAGCTTTTTGTGATGGGGGTTGATGCCGAAGATGAAATGCTAAAAAAAAGAAAAAACAGAATGAATGTGTCATGCTCTGCCTCCTGCATGCTCTACTCAGGCACCAATCCTCGGCTGAGTGTTTCAGACAATCTCCTGCTGTGTTCTTCATATGGGAAATGAAAACTTTGGAAGATTTGCAGACCGAATTTTCTGCACTGAAAATGGATTGACTCACATCTCTACCAATGTTAAAACAAGTCCCATCAACACTTATTTAACGCATGCATGTTAACATACATGTACATGTAATGGACAGAGGAAGCACCATAGCAGGATACAAGTGCAGACATGTCGCCAATACAACACTTGATCATGAGTGAGAATGATACGACCCCATACGTGGAAACCTGACTGCTCCACCCCTGAACTCAAATGAATCACTTCCCCCTCTCTTCACACCTTCACGCTGAGCTCATTTCAGATCTCTGTAATCTGTCTTTATGAATGTTGCAGCCTCCACACTGCTCAAACTGCTGCTCTGCTACTCGCCTCACTCCTCTGGAGAAAGCTGGAAGTCTCACGTGACAGAGACCACTTTAACTTCTCCGGGCTCATTAACCTTTCATACACCGCGCTTTGTTATTCCACTCATGCAATGCCGATGTCTGTTGCTTTCACCCTTTTGGCATATGCTAAATGTCGAGCAATAGTAGACACACACTGCAGCTGCAGAGCAGTATATCCATGTATTCAATTATGCATAGTAAATTTGTTTTAATTTGCTCAACTTGATACCAGTTGATGTCCATTTTGCTGCTGCCAAAGTGCAACAGTTTTGCTGCTGCCTGACACAAAATCACTAAGTGAAGAAGATGTTGATTATTATCAGTTGTGGTGTTATACAGGCTACAGATCAGAGCACAGACTGAGGATTTAGTGTTGTTTGCTATGAGGATATTTTCCTTATAATTCCAGAAATAAGGCTCACATATCTTGAGAACTGTTCATCTTATCTGATTCACACTGGAAGTGTAGTGAGTGTACTGAGTCGTACTTTGAATGAACAGGTGAACAGCTCTTGTGCAGCAGCAGTGGTGTAGTCAGTCTTTTTTTTTTTCTAGTTTCAGAAAGAAAGCTGGCACCAGTTTTAATACAGGCCAAGCAACCAGCCTATTCCAAACAGGAAGAACTGGAACTGCACTAGTTGCTTTACTCAAAAAGGTTGTTGGCATAGGTATAATACATTAAATTGAGAATAAAATCATGTTATTACGAAGATTTCTGTAATCTCACCTCACACTTTTCCTCTACCTCCACACCCTTGAACGATAATAGTCCTGAATCATTTCTTTATTTAAATTCATGACATCTCTCAAAGAGTTGAAAGTTGTTTCGGATTATTAGAGTTTCTTGACAGATCCTGGGAGAGCGGAGTCCCTGTGGTCCTTGCTGACAATTCAGTTTCAAGCTAAGTGGAAAACAGGAAGTTTCTTTAGTGGAACAACAGCAATGCCACACACATGGAATATGATTATCAGGCAGAACGAACACACACACACACACGCACACACACGCAAGCACGCGCGCGCGCACGCACGCACGCACACACACACACGATACTCTTTTTTTTTAAAATAAAAAGCTATGTCCTATCATCTCTCTCGCCGTCTGTCTCTCAGCCCAATTATGACAGCAGTAACGCTCGTCTTGCTGCTGTGTGCAGGAAAAACGCTTTCAGTTATTTCAGCAACATCAATTATTAGAGACTTTCTCCTCCAGAAACATCTGCGTATCCCCTTCGCTTTGGCTCATCAGCCACAGTCAGACATGAAATACATATTGCATATCGATGTGCGCACATACATGCACCCACTCATTTAACTCTGCATTTCAGCCTCCATCAATAAATGATCAAAATGCAAAGATGAGATTTAGCAGAGCCGTGCTGTCAGTACAATTGCTACACAGAGGTGTTCAGCGTTAATATTCCACTGATAGATTCTGATTTTTCAGAGCTATATTTGCTCTGATTTACAGAGAGCTGTGGAAGGGGAAGACACTTTATTTGGCTACTTGGTGTTTTAAGTTGCAGAAAGTGCTGGAGAGGGACTCACAAATACAGCACTGCAGAAGATGTACTAAATAGGAGCACGCTCAACAGACTAATGGCACACTTAAAAGATCCAAGCATAAAAGCCTTATTTGCCAAGGGAGTACAGTAATATGGGTTTTAAGAACACTACATTTACCTTTAGAAGAAAATAATAGGAACACCAAAGTAAAAAATGATAATAAAGGACCTGAAAAAGAGAACAGCTTCTATCATAGTAATCCTACACTGTAAAGGGACAGTGTACAGTTCAGTGAGAGACGTATAAAGTGGACATCTGTTTCCTTCAAAACATCCTGTAAATGAATAAGTCATGTTTAGGCGTGATGATTCAGACAGCTGCAGAAGATTCAGCTGGTGTACAGAAATGTAAAAAAATGTTTTTATAATTGACGGGGTCCTGGTTTGAGTCTTATGTCTTTGAGAGATTATTATTGTGGGAAATGGAGACATCACGAGAAAACTGTTGTTTACATTGGAAATTTGGGAAAACAGGGCCCCTGCAAAATGGCTCCAGAGACCTCAACAATAATGAAGGTGCAGATCAAAAGTATCAGGAACTAGAAGGTTCTACAAGACTGCAACAGACACTTAAGGTTAAAAACATATTTTGGCTTTCTCTAAATGTAAACAAAACTGGGTGTGGGACAAAACAACTTATCAGGATGATTTATCAAAATTTAGATGGAGATAAAATTCCTGCTTTCATTATCACATGTTTTGGATTCATTGTTTTGGCTTCATTGACAATCTGTGACCTTATATTTACTTTAAAATACTAAATAAGACTTAAGATACTTAGTTAGATATTTTTTTTTATCCGTGCATCTGCTTTTATTATTATTATGTGATTTTCCATGTCTTCTTGTTTTCTTCTTCGCCTACACACTAAACATTTACTGATAATGGATCTCACCGACATTAATTCCTCACAAAAAAACAGAAGGCATGAGCTCCATCAGCACAAACAAGTTTTAGAATGATAAATGAAACTCATTAATGAAAAGGCGGAGGGGTGAGGAGTACTTTCTCAGACCAGTGATGGACAGACAAGTTGGTGAAAATATAAACAAATATAATATGAAAATCTTATTCATTCTGGATGGAAGAATATTCAACAAGAGGATCCACTCTCTCACTGTTTAATTGTGTCAAGAGCTAGAAGTTCTCCAAGAAGTGAATAAGGAGGCCACATCTAAAATAAGAGACTTCCATAAAGCTTCATGAATTGAGATATAAAAACTAATGCGGGCACAAAAACTACCAAAAACATAGAAGAGGAGTTTTGGACTGTTTCATCGTCTTCAATGGATTGACTGGCTGATCCAGAAGCCTAACAATCCCTCAGAATAATCAGTGAATATGTAAAAAAACAACATCTCCTTATGTGGGGTGAAAACATAACGTCTTTAGCAGAGATAATAAAAAAATGGACAGACATTTTGTCGGAATGATTAACAATAGATCATTTAAATGGTTTTCCAAGCAAAAAAGGAAAAGAAACCAACAAACATAGCGCCACCTTCTCCATCACAAGGGTTTTTTTTGCTTTTGGACAGTTCTCTTTTGGAGATTGGCTTTGAGGTTAGGCTTCAGGAAACTGTGATTTGTTTACAGGTGCTAAACATTTTCTGAACCAAATTATAAAATTATGACTTTAGAAAGTTATCAGCATAATTACTCAAGAAAAGAAAATTGCTGGCTTCAGTCCTTTTGTTATTTCTGCATTGAATGGTTAGGAGTGATAATGGTGAGTTGACATTGTTAATCATTAGTTTCTTGACATAACACCATTGCTTTCAAGCTTAAAAAAAACAAAAAAAAAACGACCTGCAGCAGAGAATAGCAATTTATCAACTTAACCTTTTCTTAACTGTGAAGACCTTTGAAAGCCTAAATTTTAATGATTTTGTTCAAATTTATTGCGAGACTTGAGGACACCATTATTATCTCAACACCCACACAAGGAGCCTGTACTTACCACTGACTCAATTAACTGGTGAGTAAGCTACAACCTATAACAACCATCAAGCCAAGACATACAGCAAGGTCAGTATTGCTGTGTGTTATAAACTGAAGTTGTGGGACAAAGGGCAGGCCAATAATTAGACCAACAGTGGAATTGCTGAGACAAATTGTGCTTGGTAGGCTTTTGTAATTGGGCAGGGGATTGCGGATAGTGTACTTATT